TGTGCCAACCTAATATTTCAGGCATTCAGTTTGCTCATGAGAGCAGACATGGAAGCATCGCTGCTCGTGCTTGCGAAGCGGTCTCGGTTCTCCTCACTAATAGTTAACGCGCCCCACTGCACTTGGATTCGTTTAGCGGCGTTTAGTCGAGAGCGACCAGGGGGTAGAGGGCTATATGTGGCCGATAGGCTTCACCGCGCGCAAGCAGCTGGTACAAATCTATAGAGGGTAGAGGAACGAACATCTCAATTAGGCACCGCCTCCACGGACTATTGGTCCCAACATGATGTACAGAAGTAGGAGGAAAGGACCAGCAGCCCGCAGAAGCGGCGCCTAACTTAGGTGTTCGTACCTCTACCCATCTATGTACCAGTAAAGTATGGGGCTGCGCGCTTTGTCGCAATTATCCACACCGGACCACCTTCTTTCGGCGACATGTAGTCCCCTACCTCGATCAGGGTACGGTTTGTACATCTGAAAATAGAACAATGTTGGTACGAGAATTTTTTGCGGTGGGGGCAACAAATGCCTCAAAAAATTTTGGGACGCTTTTCAAATTGATGAAATTGTAATCTCCAAATGCTTGAAGAGTGGGCGTTACGCCTGTTCCTCTTCCCCCTTTCCCAAAGAATCATTTTGCAAAGCTAATTTGCATTTCAAAATTTTCACGAAATTTATACGATTTTTTGCAAATTGAATCCAGTCACGTGCACAATTTAAACTTATGTCGGTAACTTTCAAGTCATGGGAAGAGCGGTGTTAGAACGTGAGATGGGGAGGGGAAAGCAGCGAGTTGCTCGCATTCCGCTTGATTCTTTCGCCGTTTTATGCCCTAAGAGGTGCCGCATATACGGATTGGACAATGGCCCAATAAGGGGGTCCTCAAACAAATCTTGATCTAGCCTATTTGTCGCTGCCTTCAAGGATACATCCCTGATTATCAGAGCACTGCTCATGGAAACATGCTTTTCCATTTGCAGAATAAAGATTTCATCTTCGTATTTTATTAAATCATATTTTGGATGCCTTATAAAAGTTGGCTCTGTCCAGCAAAATTCTAGAAAAAGGGGCGTGGCTTAATATTTTTCACAAGATTGCTTTGAGTTTCGGAAGGAAACTATTTTCGATTATTCACAAGTGAAAGCAAGTTACTTGCGCGATTAACTTGAATAAACAAATTTCAACAATCTTGGCGAAAAAATACTGCACCACGTCCCTAATTGGGTGCTTATGAGCTCCAGTAAATCCTGCTTTTCCGGCGCATAGAGCTTTCAGGAGAAATATGGCAAATACTCATCGGATTGCGAGCTTGTGAAAATCAATGTTGGGGGAAAGGTTTTTGTAACCTCCCTTCCTACTGTCACAAAAGAGGATAGTGTGAGTCTGCTTTAAAAGATTTTTTTGCCTATCTGTGCCTTTTAAGTTACTGTCGGCTATGGTCGCTAATCGTCGTCATAAAGAAGAGGAGCTCTTTATCGATAGGGATCCGACACATTTCGCACAGGTGTTCATAAGAGATGCTCTTTATTCCAAGTTAGCAGGGCTTCCATTTCAGGTGCTGAATTATCTAAGAGATGGCGAAGTTTTTCTTCCTTTTGAGGATGGCTACACTCGTGAAGCTTTACGAAGAGAAGCTGAGGTAATGGCCGGTAGCATTTCTAGTCATGCTTCGACAATGGGATTGCAGTTTTATGACGTTCCTGGCCTCGCAATGTGCACATGCCGTCATGGAGACAGTGTACGATTGAGAAAGAGCGCTATCGAAGCATACTGTTTTGTGGCTTTGCCAGCAAGGTATATGCGACATAGTAAGCTTACTGCAATATTTCACATTCCATAGTGTGATTAGACCATGAACTTTTTTGTTTCATAAAGATTAACCTTCCTTCCTAGTGATGGACTGGATAGAACGCCTTCTCGATGTAAATATCACTGTGTGATGCGCGCACACTATGAAATCCCGACGCACCTCTCTATTGAAAAGAACTGTCTACTGGCAGTGAATGGGAGAGCATCCGAACGGTTATCATTGGACCAACTAAAGTCCAGAGAAGGGTATGTTTCAGAGGTAAGCCGTGCTGAACAGCATCAGGCTATAAATTTATGTCTAAAATATTTCAGGTCAATAACACCTGCTGCCTCGTAAGGTGGAATAGTATTCATGCACATGTTCCAAAATCTGCACTGCGTCTGGCAAAAATGAAATGATATGCCCCTGTTTTCGTAATTGTCATTCATTGCATATTGAACTGTAATCTTTGTTCTTCGTCTCAGTTATTGAGTAGTGAATTTTGCTAGTTGATATCATACACGTTTGCAAACAACAAACATCTTTGTAATATACTTCATCAAATAAAGTGCCAGTGCTGCCTTTCCATAAAGTATAGGTATCCAGAGAAGCAAATACTGCCGCTAAACGCTTTATGCACTCTAGTAAATTTGACGGTTAAGTAATCTGTCTTTGCGCTGTTGAAAGCGTTTTCACAGGAATAAATTTCATGTTCATGGATGCGACAAAATGTCTCGCTAAGATATCAGTTCTTGGGCGTGACTTTCCTAGAAATTCTATTTGGGGATGAGGACATTAGCCACTTCCTTCAATCGATTTCTGGAAACGTTTTGGGGTTTTTTATTTTTTTAGTAAATTTGATATTATAATAAAATTATTGTTCGGTTTTGAGAACTGTAGACTGTTTGCTCTCAACAGCGTTTTGTTCATACTAATGGTTATCTCTTGTGTGAGCTTCTTTTGCCATAGCCTTTTTCTATTAGGTTGTTACATAAGTCTTGTTACACTCAACTTCTAACGGCGATAAATCATGTATCTCATAATCTTTGCAAGACTCCAGGGTACCATTCGATAGAGCAAAGCAAGCTCTACAAGATGGCCTGCACAGTTTCACACCAACATCGACCCACGTTAACTTCGAATCTGAAATCTGAGTCGTGGCGAAGGCTCAAAAATTGCGATCAATTCATATCTTTGTTCAGAAAAACCCTACGAATCTCCAACTTGCTCATAAAAATTGCACACTACATCAGACACTCATATGTACCATTGCTGTATTTTTTTCTCATCTAGAAATCGAGAAAACGAAAATTTTCTTGTTTTTACAAATACAAAGCTATGCTGTTTCTTTTTATGTAGCTGTATACTACAAGCCCTTAGAAGTATAACCGTAAATTTTCAGCTTTCCGGAAGCCCTAGTTTTCGAAAAATATCGAATTTAGCTTTTTTCACTCGGGTGTTCAATACTAAACTAGGTATTTTTCGAAAACTATGGCTTCTGGAAAGCTGAAAATTTACAGTTATACTTCTAAGGGCTTGCAGTATACAGCTACATAAAAAGAAACAACATAGCTTCGTTTTTGTAAAAGCAAGAAAATTTTCGTTTTCTTGATTTCTAGATGAGGAAAAAATACAGCAACGGTACATATGAGTGTCTGATATAGTGTACAATTTTTATGAGCAAGTTGGAGATTCGTAGGGTTTTTCTGAACAAAGATATGAATTTTTCGCAATTTTTGAGCCTTCGCTACGACTCAGATTTCGGATTCAAAGTTAACGTGGGTCGATGTTGGTGCGAAACTTCGCAGGCCATCTTGTAGAGCTTGCTTTGCTCTATCGAAAGGTACCCTGGAGTCCTGCAAAGATTATGAGGTACATGACTTACCGCCGTTAGAAGTTGAGTGTAACAAGACTTATGTAACAACCTAATACATGGACAGTGGTTGTCCAATGAGAACGATAGATAGACGATTTCCATTTTTAGAGAAAATAGCGTAATCAAAATGATGAAAAAATAAATGAAATCCTATTATATGAAGAGTCGTATGGTGCATTCAAAAATCATCAGATAGCGGGAAATGATCGGGTCCCGAAGCGAGCGCGCCTGTTGCTAGCACCTTTGAATTACTGGTTCATTAGTAAACTAATAAGTAATATAATAATGACGCTGACAATACTGTCCTCTATGATGCTTACAGAAAATCAGTAAGTGATCGTATAATGAACAGCTCTAAATTGTCACAGCACGAGTGCTGTTCGTAAGTAAAAGGAGAGTTGATGTTTTGAGTGCGCAGACAATTCTGAGTTTCGGGCTGCCAATGGGCATTGACTGAGAGGCATTACCTGAGTCATTGCGCAAGCGGTCTCAGACAATCAATGGGAACTTCCCGAGGTCCGTGAGGGAACTTTCCTCGGGTCACCTGCGGAAGTTCCCGTGAAGCGCTCGGGAAGTTTGCAAAAAAGTCCTCGGGAAATTCGCAAGAAGTGGGAAATCTCCCGAGAACTTATCTACAGAACTTCCTGAGGGCTTCACATTGGCTCCGCGTAGCTGTACCGAACCTTCATGATGAATCCTGCTACTTCATAAAGCCGCACCCTTAGTACAGCTACTCAAAGTAGTGTAGTAGTAAGGGTGGAGCACTAGTAGTAGTTATACGCAAAAACAGATATGCTCCATCATTTATTGTTATAGCAGTAGATATAACATATCGACGGAGGGAATGGGAGAATTTCTTCAAGTTCTTAAAAGATCGAATTACAGTAGCCCGGATAATGCGTAAGGAGTATCATATTGATAGTGAGATATGAAGTAAGCATGTAGTGAATATAGAGGTAAGCGGGGAGTAAGTAAATGAAGCACTGATTAATGAGAAACATGCTTAACTAATGAGGCAAAGGCACGATGTTACATGAGAAGACTTATGATGGATCAGAAATTAAACATCAGGTTCAAACAGGACAGCGACGGGATCAAATTCCACTACTGTGTAGCGCTTTCCTCTTCCATTCTGACTTCGTCATACTTGCCTTGTCCTCTCTACCAAATCCGACCTGCGTAGCCTTGTATTTCTGGAAAACAAATTTTTAGTATAAAAACAACTGAGACTAAGTTTGAACCTTTGAAGGCACAAGTTTTCCCTTGTCGAGGCGATAATAACGGACATCCTCGCTGTAAAACTGAATTTAGAAGCAGAAGACGATTCTGGAAAACTTACAGTGCTTCTGCGATACAGGTCCTGATTTGGCCGCAGTAGAAAGTTTTTTGCTCCAGCAGATAGTTGAACTTTTTCTCGCGTTCTTCATCGGATGTACCCAGAGAGATCCAGTAACTAAATCATTTGAGTAGGTAAAGACTGCTTACGAAACACCAACGCACCTAGTGCGCAAGCTTCTTATCGAATTCAATCTGTATCCCTCCAAATCCTCGTTGCCGAGGCTAAGCGCATCCAATACGAAATCTAAAGAATGATTTGAATGAGAATTTCTTACATGACTAGTTTCGTACCGTTGAGTGTGATAACTATGGACTCAGGCAGATCTTGTAAATCCGGCTTGCGCGATACATTAGATGTACGATGAGCAAAATTCCATATATCTGAGGGATCTGGTCCACAAACCTACAAATCTCGCTGTAGTCCACTCATATTTACTTAACTAGATTTTTTTATTATACTTACATGTTCATTGGTTATGAAAGTTATGAACATGAATGGCCAACCTGTCTGAAGATCACACGTAAAAAGTCATTGATGACGAGCGAAGTCTTGTGTTTGACTCTACTCGGAGCTGTGTAGCCGGCGAGAAGCTCGTTGAGGTTTAGTTCCTATGATAAGCATAATTGGCTTTGGTTAATTTTTGATCCTAACTACCTTGAATGGTGAACTACGCTTGATTATGTGCTGTTTCTTGAGATTATCAGGGCTGAAGCTTATGGTGGAAGAGGACTCGCTGATTCCGCTAGTAAGCTTGTTGCAGATCTGTCGCAGTACATGGATTTGAGACTCGAGATCTCTGTTCTTTGTTAGCAGAAGATTAACCTGTAGCGAGCAATGCTGATTCAAATGCTTAAGCGTGACGAATCCTACTTTCCCCCTTAACCGATACATAAAAGTCGTCACAGCTGCACTCACCAGCACGCGGTTGGATACAAATTAGTACAGGCAAATTTAAGCTCATGGAAATGTGTGTTGTTGAGAGAGACAGTACGATTCAACTAAAAATTGATATGAGCTGACATTAAAGAATGGCTCAAAAACTTCCCGCTAGAGCTTTAGCCATACTTTACCCGTGTTACCGTGTTACTGGTCTTACCCGTGTTACTCGTTTACTCGCATTACCATTGTTACTAGTGCTACTCGTATTACCCGTGTTACTCACTCGCCACTAGTCAATGAGATCGCGTTCTAGAATGAGCCTGTATCTGTGATCATTTCACTACTTAAAGCACTAAAAGCGGTAAAAGCAGTAACACTAGTAACATTAGTAACACAGGTTACACCGGTAACATGGGTAACACGGATAAAGTTCGGCCAAAGCCTAATGGATCTATAAATTTGAGTAGCAAAAGATTCCACCAAACCAATCGTGCAAAAATACACTTATCACAGCTTTAGTTTCAACCATACAAAAGCGCTGTTTCTGCTGTTAGCAGGCAGCGTTTCCATCGTCAGTTGTTATCGACGTTCTGTTGCTACTGTTGTTAACCACTACTGCTGCTGTTATTTGCTACCCCTGCTACTGCTGTTAGATGATGGAACGAACAATCAAGTCTCATTTCTCCATACAAGTTTTCAATGATTAGGTAACAGCAGCAACATCAGTAACAAGGATACAGCGGTAACATCAGCAACAGCGGCAACAATTGATAGTGACTACGAAGTAGTGCATGGCAAGAATCCAAATAGACACAAAGAAGAGATTTCAATCCATAAAATAAACAAAAAATGTGAGTGAAATACGAAATGTCTTAGTAGGTTGCATGAAGCGGAATGTGGGTGAAGAGAATAGAGGGTGAAAGAGAAAGTGGAAAGATGGGAGGTGAATAAAAGATCCTCGAACAACTTCATTACTCTTGCTTAAAGATTATTGTATATTCTCATTAGTGATCTCTAATGTGCACAGCTTCGGAAAGAAAGCAAGAGAGCAGTGCTAAATCAGAGAGGAAAACAGGAAACTTTAAGAAAAGAAAGAAAGAAAAGCAGTGCTAAATCAAAAAAGAGAAAGAAACATTATCATAGAAGTGAGTTGAAGCATAACTAGTGTCAAATAAAGCGCAATCACGCTCACCTGAAAGTCGACTTGTGCCCTCAAAGTAGAAGCCTTGAACTATTTGTTCGTCGCGACTATATTCGGCTGATGCCCTTGCTCTGAAAAAATTCACGTTAGAAAAGAGGAAAGAAGAGATCTAATATGCAAAGAATCGTAAGCGCAGTTTGAAAATCATCAAATCGCGAGAAACCGCGGTGCGGTCCCGAAGCGCACGCACATATAGCACCTTCACATAACTGCTTCACTAGTAGGAGGAGAAAAGATCGAAATTACAACCACTCAGCTAGGAACCAGAATCTAAATACTACCTAAGATAACACTCCAATTTGAATTGCTAAACTTTCACCATCTATAACAGATTGACAGACTAGCAGTATAGTGAAATAGCGCAAGTGCACTGTTACGAAATACAGAAAAGAAAGCAAGGAGAATCAGACGCTGAAAAAGACTTGCCTAAATTCATATTTTCCTTTTTATATATAAAACAGCACAAAGTCACATTTAGAAGAATTTCGAAACACGTAAAATTTATGAGTAAATGTAAAGTCAAAAGGAGTCATTTCCTTATTACATGGTGCATCATAACAGCCGCACTCGCAAAGAGCTGTACAATAGATGGTCGCACATATATTAAGGTAATTCAATAGCCGGATCATCTATTTGCTTGTTTTGGCTCTGGGTCATAGCTTCACACCTCGCACTGCGACAGAGGACGGTAATTATGATGTGCGAAGTAACAAGCAAGAGGTCACTTCACCCTTAACGACAAGTGATGCAAATACATTTGAATAATGCCACATGGAAAGAAGAGAATTCAGTCAATTTACAGAATAAAACGAGAGGACGATGGAAAAGAAACACTAGAAGTCCGCACTTGCGCTAAATCAGATATCGCACTGACCATTACATAAGTTTGATGAAGACTCTGTGACTTTTTACGACAATTCAGTCATTAGAATGAAAGTAGCGCTATTACGAAATACCGCGAAGCTCTCGGAAAATTCCCTTTTCTTAAAAGCTTTTGGAAAGTTTCGCATTTATAGATACTTCCCGAAGAAATCCTCGGGAAGTTCCTAACTGCGTTGCTCCTGACGTCAAAGTTTTCGGGAAACTCCCATTTTTCCATTCACCTCTGTGTTAAACGAGTTCTTCGGGAAGTTTGCCAAAATTGGCTTGTTTTCGGGAAGCTCCCGTGAATTGTCTGAGGGTGCCTCTTAGTTTTCATTGGTGAAGTAAGCATCCCATTGTCCAAAAAGTATTGAACTCTACCGGAGGTCACCGAAATTCGGCCTCGCATCGCCATATCTTGGTTCAGAGTGGGACAAACATTGAATGGGCACCAATCGACTCAGCGCGGCGACGCTAGGCTCATCTCTGGATATATGGAATTGCCAGTTCGGGTACGGTAGGTAGTGGTAGACGGTTGGAGGTGGTAAACCTTTTTGGGTTCGCGATTACAGGTCACTCAATTGTTCATTGAGTTCCTAAGATGAACAAAGTTCTAAATTCGAATCTGACCGCGTACCGTATGCATACGGGTACGAGGTCAGATTCTGTATGTCATAAGATGCACCTCGATTGCAGACTAGACAGTTTTCAGACATTCTTTCTGATTATTGGCATTTTTCACCATTTTTTTGCAAATTTCTTTCTTATTACATCATCGAGAGTGTGAAAATATCGCGCAGCATTGTTGAAAAGGTCTGCTGACAGCTCAGTCATATTTCAGATAGAGATTTTACAAACTTCCGCAACGAATTTGGCAGCGTTTCTTTTTACTTCATAAGCATTATAGATTTAATCGTTATAGATTTACCTCGACCGTTCATCTCTTTCATAGCTGAGGTAATGAAGCAGAAGTGATGAAAATAAGTGAAAAATGTCTAATCTTTTTATTTTTGTACAGAAAGTGTCTGAAAATGAGTGTTTCGAAGTTCTTTCAAGAAATTTTGTGCAGGTTCCATCTACCTAAATTCCTACTAGGAAATTATGGTGAATGAGTATGCCTACTGATTTTTTGATCCTCAGATTTGTGGTTTAATTGCAGAGAAAGTTCGGTATTATCAGTCGCAAAGCTAGATAAAGATCGTAATGTCATAAGATCATTATCTTCGAGCTTTGAAACTTGATATGCCTGCACAACACGCGCGGCAACCGACGACATCTTTGCTGGTAACCCCTCAGTAAAACATTTTCTGGCGTAAAAAGTCGTAGAAATGTGTACTACTAATGCACATATGCAAACACATACAATCAATTCAAAAGAGGTAATGAACCAAGAAAAATCTTTGGGAATGGGAATAATCTCACAAGGCGTCAAGTTACGCGCATGGTGTGCAATACGCACACCAAGTTGCAAATAATTCGATGACTCATCACGATAGCCTTTGTCTGACTGGAAGTGGAAGCTAAGCAGATACACCGTGGAGATATTGGAAAATTGGCTAACGATGCAATTAAAATATCTCGACTTCATGGTTGAGTTTCCATTGAAATTTGATTCCTATTGATTTTGAGCGAAAAAGAGGATTCAAATTGGACAATTTAAGTCAGACAAACAACATCAACAAGCATGAAATTTATGTGACATTTCTTTCCGAAAGGGGATGGAAGTTTCAAGCGGATGGAGTTTAACAACGTGCTTATTTGTATAAAAGAGTAAAAAAGGCTTAAGAATGTTCAACAAAACTTGCTGGAAAATGGATAGCACTTTGTAGGGAAACTGCTAAAAACTGCAACGAAAACATGTCAGTTTCAACCTAGAAGGTATCACATAGACTCAGGCTTTTCAAAATCTAAGTTGACTTTTGAAGAATACGACCAATTCCATGATCATCGTTGCGACTCTTCTACTCAAGCTACAAATCCTTAGTGAAGGATTTGAGTCTATTTATAAGTCCACTGAGCAGTTCCTATAATCATTGGCAGTCTTAGAGATTCGCTCATGCACCGCTGACGCAGTAAATAACCACCACTCAATACGCCAAAGTTAACAACGGACTATCGACAACCCCTAGGTCTGAAATGCATTTGCAATGTTAATTAATTTGTTTGCATTCAACCCAGTTCCCTTCTTGAATAGTGATTGTTTATTAAATCAAATTCTCTCAGAAAAAGTGCATATCAGTCTAGCGGATCCAATCGCGAATGATTTCACTGTTCCTTTAGGCAGGTCGCGCGACCCAGTAATCCTCCATGCGCGAAAATCTCAAAAGTGCTTTCGAACGTTACATCTCCTTTTGACGATCGCCACAACTCCCGCCTTGCTGCGTCAATGGTAAGTTGAAGTTTTTGAGTCTTCCATATAGATTTTGGGATGCTAGTTCTGCTTATGTAGCATATTCTTCCAGGTTGAAGATCAGTCTTTCGAGGGGCGTGTGAAGATCAACGTCGGGGGTACAATCTTCGAAACTACACGTTCTACCCTCAAAACAGTCAGTGATAGTGTGAGTTCAGGGTTTTTTCCTTGAGTTTTTCATTCATAGGACTCAAAGGTGCATCGCGTATCCGCTTTGATCTCTATACCAATAACTTTCTTTGTGCTTATGACAGCTCAGAAGTTTGTTGGGCTGACAGCTGACTGTTAAAATGGTGCCTGTTCCTTTGACGTTTCATGCTCGCATAACGTATGGGACGCAAAAACTGCAGCCTTGTCACGATCTCATAAGGAAGCCTTATCTCATATGAAGACCTTATTTGTGAAGGCTTGTACTGCCGAACGAAGCCGCAAAGCAGTATCAGCCGAGCGGGCACAAACGCGGCCGCGTGTATCTTCACCCTTCTAAATCCTGCACCTTCTGCGCTCTTTGGCTAAAAAACCGCGCTTGCGCAGCTGGGG